AAAAAAAAAAAAAAAAAAAAGAATCAGGGAAAAAGCAAAATGATGTAGAATTGCAATACAAACGACTTTTGGCTGACGGTCATATCAGAATTCCCCACGGATTCGAAGATAAAAAAAGAAAACAACAGAATCAGACTAACGCACGCCCCTTTAGACCCCTTAAGCCCCTTGAAAATCAATTTAGACCCCCCATTCAAAAAGAGCAAGGAGCCTGGATTTAACTCCCTCTGGGCACGCGCAGAACGCCCCCCCCCCGAAAAAAAAGAAGACAAAGAAAGACAACGGGCTGATGTTTACCTGCACAGGGTGCCCCGTGCAGGTGAGCCCCGGGCGACTTGCCCGGGGTGCACGGCCGAGCTGCACGGCCCGGCACGCCAAGTAACCAAGGATGTATCTATAATTGATTCTATATACATATATATCGTCAAACAGAGCTGCCTACGGTAAACCATAGGCAGAGAGGGAGGAAGAAGAGGACAACAAACGAGCGGCTGTGACAAACTGATTCGTCGGAGTTTCACCGACCGGCTCGTCCGGAGGAGGCTGAACCCTCAAAAACAGTCTGCAGAATCCCCTAGTAACTGATCATTACACTAAGTGTTAATCCACCTTAACCCCACTTGTTGGGGTTAAGCATCATCAACGACTGCCCGACAACTGATACCTCTCTGAGGTGGTGCGGACCACCAACCACTGCCCTCAAGTTACCTATGACGCAAATCAGAGCAGACTATCTCTCACCCACACCAGATAGAAAACTATACAGACTGCCGGTTCACACCCCATCAGAAGCCAGCAAAACACCCACAAAACAAAGAATGGTCTATCACAGCCAAAAAATACACGTCAGACACGCTGCTGGCACTAGAGGCACACAGCATGGCTGCGTAGTGACGGCCCCGACCACAGATGCTCAACCTGACCGGAGAAAACCGTAGCACGGTGATATCGAAGTCAGGGTATATATCGTCAAACAGAGCTGCCCGGTAAACCGTAGTAGGCAGAGAGGGAGAAGAGGACAACAAACGAGGGGCTGTTATGTATGTACACACACACACACACACACACACACACACACACACACACACACACACACACA